TTTTAAAATAAAGGGGATGACGAAAGTACAACTATGTGGGTTATACATATCAAAGAAGTCCTCGAATTGAGTAGAAAACAAAGGTGAAAAAGGCAAACAAGTTGACAAATTTGGTCTCATCTCATTTAAAAGTGTATACTTAAAGGTATAAGAAACAATAAGTATGAATACGGGTTAGATCCAGTGAGATAAAACAAGAAAAATGATGGAAAGAGAGGAGTACTCCGTTATTTCTGATGGAAATTTCTTAGTGCTGTACAACAAAAATGTTGAGAAAGGGATAAAGTTCGTTTAACTGTAGGATTACTACGACAAATTAGCACAGGTTAACAAGGCAACTGAAGCAACTGCTTTTATACAGACAATTCTGGTTTCAGCAGTGCCAAGTACGTACAAGTGAACGCTCGACTTTATAAACAGTAATAAGCTATTACTTTAAACGTTGTGCGGTCTTATTCTTACACATCGTTCACAGTTGTCTTTTGTCTAGGCATTCGAGGGGTGGTGGGTGCTAATGAATGTGACAAAGAATATTCCTTGGTGAACACCTCACATATCTAGCTAAAATCAAACAGTCCAATCAGGGTAACTTGTCTCAAGCACCTATGAACTACCTCTCACACCATGCTCACAGACAAGCGGTATGAAAATTTTTATCGTGGATCATGAAAGAGTTCTGAAGAAATTTGTTTGCAGTACCAGTCCTAAGTACCAAATCTGGGTACTTCATTTCTCTTAACACAGTGACCATACCTGAATATCATAAACACTGTGACTCAGTAAAATGTACTAAAAACCCATTTTTCACAAAGTTTTGTTTTAATTCCCTGATCTACGCTGTCTTTTATACATGTTTTTTAAATGCTTATTAAACGACTAGCAAACCAGACGCTTTTTCTGTCCATAGGGGTTACACAAGGAACTGCTTAGTCTAACACAATATGTGGATTCCATATAGATCGATATCTAAAAATATCTGTCGACTTTCTTTGTCAGTGGCGTGTAGAACAATGAAGTTTTCCAGTCTTTCTTCAGGGAAAACTGAATTGATAGATGACAGTCACTGAATGTTCTGAGGACTTTCTGTAAATCACATGTCCTCTCACATATGATAAGAAACATCTTCATGTCAACGAAGTCTAGTCAAATTATGATTAGCACAAGATTACTTTAAGAAAAAGAAACTGACCAGCAAAGTACTTGATGACGATCTCGGTGTCAAAACATCTCTTTTTTCGTAAATCTTATTGTTGAACATCAGCTGGGCATTCAGTGTATATGCAGATATAATTTACCTCAAGTAGCACACTGGTGATCCCATATCCACGTAATATCGGACAAATATTAGGTGCTAATAAGCAACAATGGTCATTTTCTTGCACGAGACATTCAGCCACGCTTACTGTGCGACGACCGACTGCCTAGACATCGACAGTTATAGAATATAAAACCCAATGTTTTCTCAAGTGTAACATTTTTAATTCAGTGAGGTTAGGTAAAAAGAAAAGTTTTTCGTAAACTTTCTAAAAATTCAAAAGTGTCATATTAGGAATTTTTCGAAAATGTTCTTGGTCATAACACCATTGTATCTTTTCAGTTGGCAACAGAGTGACAGAGAAAACTCAGCATCTCTAAACTAGAGTGATGCGGTAGTTTAGGTTTAAGAATCCTAAGTAAATCGTAAAACGGAAGAATTATCAATCAAGTAGCTGCTAGTTTTTAATATAGGTTCAAAATCATTAGAAAGTTATTTTTCATTCCTTTCAGGACCTGCATAATTTGCTGTTCAATCATTTGTGTTTTGTTGTTTTCACGTTCAGGTTTCTGGAATCTGTTTTCACCTGAGGGAATATACAACATTTGTTAAGATAGTCCTGTCGATTTATTATTACAATGCCTGCACCTTTATCAGGTCCTTATTTTCTTTCAATTCTTTCAGTTGAATAAAGTATCCATTGCCTAGGTGATAATAATTATCTCGGATTCAATTTTAAATACTGATATGTATAATATAAGGTGCATCGAAGTCCCTTTGTTAATGTTCGATCAACAGTGAAAGGCCGTGACTCCCCGACAGATGAATACAATCTGAAAGATAGGAAACGACCACGTCAGCCTGAGCTTAGCAATCAAATCAAGACACAAACAGCTCCGCACAGACAGGCAGACCTTGCAATAGCTAAGACAGTTTGTTTTGAGGTATTGTAGGTCCTAAGAAAAAACTACAACACCTTGTATCGGAATCACTCCAATAGTTTCCGGTAAATACTGTTATAATTCATTTATATATACATAAATAAAGTTTGTTAAAAACCATTTGTACAGAGTAGACGGTATTGATAAACTAACATAATCCGATCCAGCTATATGATAATGTGAGTAGGGCTTGTATGTGGTCATCAAGGTAAATAAATTACAACCAACTAATTTTGAGCTGTAAACGCATGATTAGTAGGGTACTGACCAAGTTGGTCCTCCTAAACCTTCACTAATACGAACTATTTAGCCAGTTGTCCAACCTCATTTTAGTCAACATAGCGTTAAGCTTTAAGTATTAGTTAATCAACTGACTGATTTCAGTAAACTTTTTCTAGTAAATTATTATTATTATTATTTGTCCTTTGGATTCCAAGTGGAACATGGGAATTCAGTTGCACGTCTCCATTTCACTCTGTTCTCTGCAGTCTTTTTAATCTGGCTTCACGACTGCCCAGAACCTTTCATTTCTTCCTCACACGATCTCTTCCATGTCACCCTCGGACGCCCAGTTCATCGTTTCCTACTTAGCTCCCACTCGTGGGCCTGGCCTGATGCGTGATATTCCCAAATGGTCTTCTTAGTGTATGTATGCCCAATCCATCTCCATTTTCTTCTGCATACTTGTTGGGTAATGGGTTCTTGGTTGGTTCCAGTAAACACTCAAATGCAGTTTTTTGTGGGTAAGGGTGAACTGCCATTAACAGCCTTTTATGCAATAAATAGAGTATGGTCAAGACATTAGGTACACAGAAGTTATGACTGTTCATCAAACCCACTTTAGCATCATCCCAAATCACAATCGTCCCATATAATAATGCATTATCACAACTACTGTGTGTAATTTGCACTTACAAGAAATATAAACATCAGTAAACGTTAGTGATTAACTAGATATGTTCCAAACGACTACCTGATTAGAAATTAGTATTGCATTTTAATCAGAATATTAAGTACGAGAAATCTGACGCCATATTATTTGCAGCAATTTAGATAAATATATTAGTCTTCGTCTATGTATCACTTGCTAACTGAGATAACCTTAAAGACTCTTCACAACATATTTTTAATAGCAACAAAGCCAAATTATTACAAGTACTTAAATTCGTCACCAGGTGGCTGCTTGAATTGTAGTCACTGAGTTAAGCGGCAAATCACGGTGTTAGATATTTAGGATTAGTTGGCAGCATATTCTTTATTTCGGTCCCACTATTTCCGGTAAGACGGACTCTCAGTTTTATCGATAATGTCTGACCAGCACTTAAGATACGAAAGCTGCGTCGATTACCATCTAGCAGACGATCTGCAGCATGATCAGCTAAGTAGTAGCGTTTTTGAATTAAGCTTTGAACGATAAAAGAATAAATTCCTAAAGTGATGTGAATTAGTGAGTTCCGAGAACACAAAACATAGTTGCAGTGAATCTTCTCGCCAATTGACTTTTTTTAATTTTCGGCAGGTACTTTAAAATAGAAGTGGTCTGTCGATTTAGGAAGAACACTATTTATGAATTTAGTTTGAAGGAGATATCTAAAATCCGTCCATGGGCACCACGAAGTATCACGCAAAAGAATCACGTCAATGAATGCAGTAATATTCTCTCATTCTAAGATGGTGATGAAGAAGTGTGGTCTACCTGACTAGTCCTGGATGTTCTTTTTCTAATTTTAATGGTTCAGGGGGGAAATCGCCATTGTCAGGTCGAGCGGAAGGTAATGACAAGAATTCAGAAGTAGATACTGCATTTCTAGCATGTTTAACAAGTTGTATGGTAACCTACTTTGTTGGCTTTGAAAGTGATAGACCCGATTCAGTATTTGTGTGATTAATATCTCCATATTTCTTTACTATCGGCTAGCTGTTTTAATACATCCAAAATGGGCCGTTATATCTGCTTACTTTTCATATGACCACTCGTCAACATGAATGCACAATAATGGGAATGCTGTTCACTAACGAAGATGAAGAATACCGACCAGTGACAGATGCTGGTATCAGAGCGAGTATTTACAGGGTTATTGATCAGTGGTGAGAATGAAAAACTAGGCTTCCTTAGGGAATCGAAACTTCCAGGCCACAAATTATGATCTACTCAATATCAATAGTCTCACGATTGGATCAAATCTGGTTGTATCATCTCACTCATAGATTGGGTCTTACAAACACATGCCTCGACTTTGAGTATTTAATTATCCTTCCTAATAGCTGCCCCCTTTTGAGGTAGTTTGAAGATCGTGATTAACTTGTCCAAATCAACCCAGATAAAAAAGTGATAAGTTGGATCAAAATCATTTGTACTTGACAAGCAAACAGCACTGCTAATTAGTTAGTTTCATTTCTGACCACCCATATGAGTCAATAGTGCATAGACTGGAGTTAATGATGAAGCCTATTGCTGGAACATTAAATCTACACTGCAGCTACCTTAATTTAGAAGATATTTAAAAAGCGTAATAAAGGAATGAACTCGTACTCTAGTGTATAAAAGTATTCATACTCCCACTAACTAGCTGAAAAACTGTTAGGCAGTAGAAATGGCTTCATTGAACCACGCAAATCACAAGGGTGAACTGAAACCGGTCGTAAAGCAATGTATCACATGAAAAGGACTGAGGTTTCATATGAAAAAAGGCTAAATCTACATCATTTTCTCTATAATCTTATTACCATTAATTGAATTCACAATTTGCATAGTTTTTCCGTTATTTACTGTTGATCTTCATGATTTCATTTCATTTCTAAATAGGGCTGTTTACGAGACCAGACTGTATTGTGGATGTGCACTGGTATTCAACAAACACTAATCCCTTTCCTAGTTCGAGAAACTAATCAACTTGATCGAGAAGATAAAATCAATAACTGTAAATTTGAAATACGTGCAACAGGCGAACGAGTTACTGAAGCCTACTGGAGAGTGCATAGAGTGGATAAGAATGTAAGGCGATTTGAGTCTATTGCTTGGCCAGGACACTTTATCCGAGTAACATCAGGTGTTGCAGATGTTATGGTGAGTTACTGAAAGTGTTAGTGAACTCAAAGTTATTGACAAACATGGATCTCAGAATACATATTCCTTACAAGATAACCTTTTGTTTTGAAGGTACTGTAAGTAGTAAGCCATTGTAGACAAAAAACGCTTCTTATTTCTCATCCTGTAAAATTGCTTCATGTTTCAGTTAGCATATCGTAAACTCAGAAGTTCTGCTGACATTCATGCATACGTTTTCTACGAACTTTACACATTACTGAATTTCAAATAAGAAATAGCTATGTTCTATATAATGGACCGGTTTTTCTGAATTACAAGTAGGTATTCGTCATGGACTGACATCATTTAGAGGAACATTAGAAATCTGGGAGCACTGGATAGCTGTTTGTCCTAGTATGGGACTCCTAAGCAGTATCCACCCATGCCCCCACCAGGGATCAAACCCAGGACCACCACGTTCTGCCGCAGGCACGTTACGCTTGAGCCACGGGGTCGAAGTGCAATGGTCAATATTTCCTACTTGTCAGCTCACGATATAGCGCGACCTCCATCCAATGTCATCGTTGAGTACTCATCGTCATGTCCATCTGGTCTGCTCTAGATTAACTATCACAGTTTCTTGCTGTAATTGATCACCTTTATTGGTTTACTTAGATGGATGTACGTACCCTGATTGGCTATGAAAAGCCTACTGTTTAACAAAGTGTTTATCATAGTTTTTCTCCTCTGGTATGAATAACTTCAAAGCTCTAAGAACTGTCGGTCTGTATATGAATGTGCACAAATATAACTGAACATTTACTGTAATGCATTTTGAGGTTTATGGAGATTTTATTTATTTCAAATTAGTATTCATCACGAACTAAGATCAGTTATAGAACCGAATGCTGAATGACTAATGGGTCCACCGTGGGACCTGAAGGTCCTGGGTTCTGTGTCCTCCTGATCAGTGAGTGAGTACTGCTGAAAAGTTCCATACTAAGAAGTGACAGCCGTCCAGTGATCCCGGGTTGTCGATGGTTCTCCAACTGATTTCAGTCCGTAATGAATGCCATCTTGAAATGTTTACAAGAAAACCTTCTGAGAGGGAAAGTCAGCGAGCTCATAACTGCATTCATGTGTGAATACTATCAAGGGATAACCATGGTTGGACTTTACTCCACCAACAATCGTATCGTCTGAACGGATAAATTTCCGTAGAGACGTATAACTTAAATTTAATGGGGGATGGGTAGAGGTGTTCTTATCTCAGTAGTCAGGTGCCTAAATTTTGAGTAAATTTGCTATGATCCTTGAAGCTACAACTATTGACCTGATTTTAGGTTCACCTTTACGCTATTACCCATCATACTAACTGAATCCAACAGAACAATATTTTTTTGCGCCCACAATGTATTTAACACAAGAGACAACAAGGTCACAAATACGTGACCTTATAAAGACTTCTTTGTGAAGTTGTCGCTGAAGATGTCACCAATCCTGATGATGAAACGTTCACGACAAAATATCAAAGCTCAAAGAACTTCAAACCATCAACAGTGACTTATGTATATGGACTATTTCCCTAACCTGACATATTATCGATGACTGAGGCATGTTAACGCGGTTTCTGTTTGCATCGAAAGCTATCTTCAGACTACATCTGAGATGCTAAAAGACTACTCGGCTATCAGAAATGTCAACGTTAACCGTGTAATTTGTGAATAATTGGCAAATTCATTAGCAAAACCAATCGAAATCACTTGTTTTGCTAAACCTAAGGTTATGTGATACTGATCCAATATGTGCCGAAATTTCATGTGTCCACTTACACTTCATATAGTCTTTTTGTGATAGATCCAGTGTCCGCTATTTTGTAAATATTTACTTTCATTAGACTGTATTCCAACTAAACTCATTGGTTCCAAGTCCTAACGGGTTAATATCATTAAATTCATCCAGTGCCTATAGGAGTACATAGTTGAAGGTAAAAATGTTAGGAAAGTGAAAAGAAATCCTTTCATTCACACCTCACAAACTACATTTCTCCACTTCTACATATCTGATTTCTCTCTACAGTCACCACATTGCATTATTTAACTTAATAACCAAATGTTACTTCGGTCTTAATAAATCTTATTATTATAACTGTTTCAAACATTACGTAACTCTTTTTCCGATCTGATTTGTAATTAGATCAAATGAAACACTTTTTTTCTATTACAGTGTGGATAGAGAATTTATATGGGATTCTACAGCTTACGAATGAGTGACTCCTTGCTGAATGTCCTTTGTTTTATTGATGTCACAGATAACTTAGATTATTCAAACCACCTGGCTGACACAGTTTAGGATTATTCAGTATTTTTGAGATTATACTGTCTTGTAAGTTTAGAAGAAGAATCATTTTGGACACACCATCCCTAAACCTTGTTATCTATTGAGAATGAGGATGAAGAAATGCCTATAGCCTCTGCATTATTTTGCATGTCTTGAATGTAACTGGACAGGGAAGGCGCCTTCATTCTCATAAACAAATTTCATTCTTGGATAGCTTGAAAAATAACTGACTGTGTACTGATAGATCGGCACCATGCTCGGATAAAATGAATTAACTTGTCATCAGGCGTGGGATAGCATAAAGTATTCCGATAATTCATGTCAACCAATCAGAGAACAGCTGCTAAGTGATCAAAGTTTCAGCAAGTGCAGTGCTTTCCCCAGCCAGTCACAATCAAGATAAATGAATTCACATATTTGAACAGTTGTTACACCTGGAAACCTTGACTGTTAGGCTCAGGAGGATGATTAGAGTGTTAGTGAAAAGCTTAGAGTCAATAATATCAGCATGCAAGAAACTTATATTGATAGTAATTCTTGAATTTTCAGAATACTAACATTATTGTTGTAATATAATCATTTTCTTCGGGGTCACATTTACAGGGTGGTGGTGGAATGGACTGCTACTTTAAAATCATCCGTGTTCGTTGTAAGGCTTTATTCAACTGTCACCTCTTGTGGATATCAATAAGATTATTGGGATGAATGAAGATGGAACCATAACTCTATATGATAAGCAAACAATGGAAGAAAATTCTAGATTTTATCCAGAAGTTATAAAATGTAGGTTTGTGTGTTTCATTTTAGAGTTATATCGTGTTTACTCATGACACTTTTTAGACCAAACTGTTATATATACGTAATTTTGATTTTAAATTTAAATGACACCAACGACTGAAAATACTTTACAGAAAGAAGTTTCAAAGCATCGTAGGCTAATTGTTCACAATCTGACTAGACAGCATAACCTCCGTAACGACCAAATGCGATCAGTGAGTTGGTAAGAGCGTCGTTAAGTCAACTGGTTAATATGTTTGAGAAAGGCAAGCAGTATTTGACTCATGTAGGAGAGTACAATGACTGCCTTTTTGGACAAATTAATTAATCACCTGTAAGATGGGTCCATAAAACGATCCATCTACAGAAAACCTTGATGGACAGGGCAATATTTGAACCATGATAGCTTTTATCCAGTTTAGTACAAGTAGTTGATAGCTGCTTATTTACTAGGATTCAACAAATACGCACAGATGATACTTTGAAAGATGAGAGAACATTAACTGAAATAGTTTGAAAATAACTGTCTGTCAAAATTGGCTAGGCAGCAGAAAACAGCCAGAGCGCCAAAACCAGCTCTACACTTTATCCCGAAGAAAGATATTTTCATCGGCCTCCCGTACAAAGGTGACTCTCATAGCGCAATCCCTAAGCGGAGACTTGACGCTGCTGTTAGGACTTACTATACAGCTAAGCTTCCATTGACAGAAACCATTAAGACTACATAATTTCCCAAACCCTTACAGAATGTGAACGACAATATCACATCCTATTACATCTACCAATTCAAATGTACATAAGGTAACGCATATATAGGGAGCACTCATACGTCTATGCAAGTAAGGGCTTCGGAGCATATTCCAAAGTTGCCTCAAAAGCGAACTGAATCACCTGAACCGATCAAACGTTGGTAGTAGATGTCCAAATTCTTCGACCGTGAAACAACATAAAAACAGGTCACAGGAATGACGTGGCTATTTCTCCTAGACCTATTTATAAACGTGTTGCGGATAGACCCTTAAGTTTGTTGAGGCTTTAGCCATACGGAAGTTTAAGCCAACTTTGTCCGTTCAAAAACAATCTGTTATCACATTGAATTTTCCTTGGTGTATTCAAATCTGCAACCAAGTTTCATGTACTATTACTTTCGCTCTATTGACTTTCATTGTTATTTGGGGTTTAGTTCAGCCTTCCTTTTTGACCTCTTTTTGCATTCTCACTCCTTATCTTTACGAATTTTTATATAAATACTTATGATAAGTATATGTGTGAACAGACTGTTTGCGTAAATACATTACACGGTTCAGACAATTTACGTCTTCCTTATTGTTTTGTCACCGTTTATAAAAGGAACTAATTGTTTTGAACTTTCTTTGTTGTAAAGAGTATTCATCCTCATCTTCTTGGAGCGTTCCGATGAGACTGCTGTCGACACATCTTTCCACACTATTTGTCAACCGACGGTTTGACCTTGTGACTTCCCTAGGTGACTACAATTCCTACTGATTAGAGGTACTTCTATGAGAAACAGGTATCACAACGACATTATAGGTTGTTCAACAAAGAACATACATATTCATTTTATAATTCCGACGGACAACTCTAGAAGTTTGCCAGTATTGATACCACTGGTTAAGTGGCTCACTGGAACCATGGTACGTTTAGCCAACCAATCCCCTAAAACGACCAATGAATCTTAACTACCTCGGTTGTACTATGTTCTCTGAGCTGGGTTGTTTTAACGTGAAACTTTAATCGTCTTGCTAGACGACATCATCAGCACTAAATTCAGTATGAAGTGAGCCGCCAATATCTCTCCGTGAGTGATTTAGTAGCCTGCCTTAACGAAGTGGTCTGTGATTGGTTGTTTCCTTCGATTGTTGTCTCAGTGTCTGTATAGACTTTCCTGTTGGCTGTTCCTCTGCTTCACCTCTGACTAACCTTTCTGTCGTTTATCATTTTCCTTATTGGTTGATAGATCGGGTCTATGTCTATACATCTATTGATTGCTGACTGACTGACCTGAATGCCAAGCTTCTAGAAATTCTCTGATATTCTTTGTGTTTCCTCTGTCCAAAACTCCTACATTGTCGAAGTTGAATTCATGTCCATAATTATCTACGTGCCTTGAAATGAGTGACGAAATGTCGTGGCGTTTAATGGCCAATTGGTGTTCATGTAGACGAAGGCGAAGAGGGTGACTACTTTGTTCAATGTAGTGTTGACTACAGTTATTGCAGTTGATTTTGTGATGATATTTTGTTTGTCTTCTTTGGTTGCTGCATCCTTTGGTCTGCATAACAGTGTTTGGAGAGGACTGTTGGTTTATGAGCCACACCAATTCCAAGTGGTCTCAGTAATCTTCTCGTAATTTTTGATATATTCTTTATGTATGCTTGGATAATATCATACAGATGTGGTGACTTATTCATCAACAAACATGTGCTTACTAGAGTTTTGATATTACATTGAACAGATTAAGCTTACCTTGACGGACCCATATAGCAGCGCTGTTTTCGATGTTGGCGGTTGAGCCAGGCTTCCCATGAATACTAGACAAACGAACTCTTCAAATCAGTTATTTTCCTATGAACCACGCGAAAGTGATTGCAATTCATACAATTATAACTAGGTCGATAGTTAAGACAAACTGTAGCCGAACATAAAAGCTGTGGTAACGCTGTATGATGAACTGAATAATGCTAAGGACTAATGAATAGCCACTAATGACCAAATAGTCGCACAATAACTGGCTCATCATGAGGACTGAAGACTTCGAGTTCAGCCATTTTAGAGACAGAGACATGAATTGCTCAACGAATCATATATCCAGTTCTCCTAGGTGTAAAGAAGTTATCCATTTGATCTCATTACTGAGTAGGATTCACCTCAAACCAAATTAGTTTCTCACCAAAATATCACTGTTAAACATCTTTTCGGCTTTACTCAGAAAACAATCTGTTACGCAAATAATGAAAACATAAAATTCAATAAAACGCTGCATCGAATCTATAACTGTGAACCATAGGAAAGCAAACACTTTTATATAGATAAAGTGGATAAAAGAGACACAAAGCACGAGGACATTCCACCTTCTAACCTGAGTATGGATTAATTCTGATTCACTTCTCATTAACAGTAAATTGAACAGTGTAGCGTTTTCTTATCCATATGACAAGGCTACTTAACGCCAAATTTATACAAATCAGTAATCTTCCAGCTGAAAATCACGCATCACGATCAAATTCTTTCAATCTAGTAACCTAAAGACCTTAAAGACCACCCTAGAAAATGCCGAGACAACCAATTAGGCTCCTCTATTTTGTGAAAAATGACATTTCTGGTTGGAATGCGGGAACCTGATTGGTTATTACAATAGTCGCTATCTTGGCCTTTAAAGTAAACCCTACTTAACTACGTTCCAGCTAACGTAACATTTCAAACGTTAAATTTGCTGCGTATAAACTAACAATGTTAGTTGTCTATAATTTTTAAAGTAGAAAGTGAAATTTCGAGTGTGTAAACTAGATATTGACTATAGAGACGGCTAAGCCCCAACCACAACTACTGTTGCTAAACTTATTTTTAATTCTGGCAGGTATGATGCCAAAACAGAAAACGTAATACCTCGCAAAATATTGTACTTTTTCTCTTTCATTTATATTTCCTTTTCCCTCCATTATTCCCCCACAAATACAGAATCGCTTTCAAACTTTTACTCCTTTCTGTCAATATACAATATTTAGATGGACTTGCTAGTAGTAGTACTCAACCAAAATTGATTAGTTCACCTACGAACAAAAAACCGCTGATACCGATCCTCAAATCACTTCTGAAAATCACAGAGATATGAATGAGTTGCTAAATCAAGGACAGGAAAAACAGAATCAGAAGCATTGCAAGGAGCGATTATTAATACTAACGCAGCCTGAATATCAAACAAATGCAAAGGATGGTGATTCAGTTGAGAGTACACTGGGAGATGAGGCGGAATCGAATGATAATGATTCGAGCCAGTTACAGGTTTCAGACAATCAGAATGAAAGCAAAAACATGAAAGGTAAGCCGCCGATTTCTTCCCCTTCTGTTTTGTTTCAATTACTGCATATTTTGAAAGCTATGTAAATAAATGTAACTTGTTAGAGCTATTCACATAAGAATACAAGTTTTAAAGGCAATCCTCATCACAGTTTTGCGTCGGTTTACCAGTTAGTAAAAACGATTTAGCGTGAATTGCTAATACATTTATGGACTTTCGAAGAAAAAGGCTTTAGAATCCATACTTGTAATCCTCCGTTGTTATACTGCATCAATTGTTCGATTTGTGTCAGAATATGGGCTGCTTTAAGGACGCTTCGATATTGCCTGAATAGTTAAAATTTACTTGACTATGGCAAGCAAGGGACTCCAGGACGCGTGTTTCGTCCTTTTCGGGACTCATCCAGTTGGTGAGTCAGCCACAGAAAGCTTAATTAACACGAGTGGTCTAAGAACATAGTCAAAGTCTGATGAGTAGTCTGAAAAGGCACAAAGAACATACTTAACACCCTTGTCTAGACTAGAAACAATATTATAATACAAGACAGTGACAGCATCTGTGTTTGTAGGCAAACTGTTCTGGATCTTTGAAAATCATCGAGGAAAGTTCAAGCAGAAGAAGAAGTAATTCACCTATAGTTTTCGAAAAAGGGAAAGTTTTAGCGATGGTTCAAAACGTAACATCTGATCCGGAAGATGAATTAGGCACAGGTACAACTTTGATCCCCTTCCGAGCAGCGGGTACGGTGTTTCTAGAAAATGATGCATTGAAAATATCTGCAGGAGGATGACACATTTTCGAAATATAATACTCGAAACACTGTAAGAACCTAAGCATTCAGATGGATTCAAGGATTTAAGACATTTAAATACATCATGTGTATTAAAACCAGGAAAGCAGCTGTCCATTTGACTTTGGACGTTAGGAAGGCTGAAATTAGCTTGGTTTAACGCACGAACAAGCTTCTTTTGTCATACGTTTTCTTTCTCTTCCAATAATTTCCATATATTGGAAGAGCTCTTACATGATAGAAACTTCTGGTTGTAAATAGTATTCAGGCGTTATATTTCAGATTTAATTAGACAGTTAAATCATTCAACGCCAGGGTGATCTCTCGTCTTATCCAACCTTTCCTTTGCTCTCCGGAGCCTCTTGAGATGAGAAGAAAGTCTGTTAAATCTCATGTAGACTGTTTCAGCGGGGCAGCAAACATCGAAACAGAATGAGATAGCTTTTAACATTCATGGTAGTGTTGCCTAAAACTTCATCAGAAAATATATGCTAGTCTGTTTCTTTAAGCATGCCTCTTAAAAGTAGTATATTCTCTTGTGAATAACATCTGTACTAGACTTTCTTGGAAAGGCATCCGAAAGCGTTCTTGTCTAATTTGCCGTACACTTTAAGCAGAACAGGTACAATACAGTGGTCATAATTTATCAGCGGAGCCTGTTTACGGGCTTCATATATACCAGGTTCATTTGTAAATACTAAATCCAGGATGTTGTCAAGACGAGAAGAAAAGTTAATCACATTTTCATGACCCAATGGTACTACGAAACTGCAGTCATATGAGTTAAAATCTCTGTAAACCATAGACAAGGAGTTACCCAGAATCAGAGGAGCGAATTTGGTGAATTCATCAGCAAAAGTAGACAAATCTAATAAACTGCAGTCAGGTGTGACGTAAACGTTTGCAATGTATATATGTTTGTATTAACTCAAATGTTTAGGATGATATTTAATGGTAATGGACTCAATTTCCTCGTTAGAGAAGGTAAAGCATACATAGTTAGAGGAGAACCAGATTGAATTGATAAATGTCGTCACACCTCCACCACATTTCTTCTTGGAAAAGTTTCGATCTTGTTGAAATAATATGAAACCATTTATGAAGGCTAAATCGTCATCATACAGGTTATGAAGCCATGTTTTCTGCAGCATTATTACACCCATATTCCGATAAACATTTGTGGATTTGGGATTTGTATACTGGGTTTTGAAATACAGCATTCATCAACAACTAGGCTTTCCTGAATCCTAACCGAACGTTTCTGTTGTCCGATCCGCATCAAGGTTTCAATGTTGGAGGCAACCAGTCTAAACGGTACATGGGGTTTTAGAAGAGTTGTATCAAATAACAAACTAAAGAGCAGCTTTATGGAACCAATTGTTTGGCGATCGAAGACAATGCAGACAAACCAGAATTTTAGTCAGTGATACAAAGCTCAGTGCAAGAAAGATACAGTTAAACATAAATTTGAAAATGATGACAAAAATGGTATATTTCAGACTTAAAAGATAACGATGATGTCAAAATAATAGATTGCATCATTGAGTAGAAATTTCTCTACACGAAGATTTGATAAACGCTATGTACATTGCATTAGCATTGTTCATTCATAAGTTGAATCAGACATTACATCATAAGAGAGCTTTTTAGAAATAACTGTTTCGCAGCTTCAAATGGTAGAGACCAATCGAAATTTCATATGATGACAGGCAGCTGAGTGAAACAAAGATGTAAACGAATTCAATTTTGGAAATGCTAGTGAAAAAAAAATGTAATACTCAAGTAAAAAAAATAGCAATGGTGAAATGGCGAGTGTAATGATTCAGTATAACTTCTGTAATACAGTAAATTTGATTGCTCACATGAACACGTCAGAAGCACATTGTTATCTATGATTTATTTGTGGACTGTGAATTCGCCTAAATGCTTTTGCCCACTCGTCTTTGTCCAAAAATCTCTGACATACAAGGGCGACGAGTAGAATTTTACTGGTAGAAACTACGAAAGTGTGATCATATTAGAGTATTTTCAGAGGTTGACTGGTTTCGACCAAGTAACTATCACTGATACTAGTTGCCAATATGTAAGCAGTTTGATTCTAGCTTGTAAATTTCATATTTTAGTTTGTTTTGTAGGGAGTGAGTGATTTCACAGTAGTTCAAATCAGGAACTGAAATCCGCCGCAGACCAATTAAAAACCTAAGAGCACTGGACAGTTGTTTCGTCCTCTTATTGAACTTCTCAGCAATGTGCATACATGACAGCCTAGGACTTTTACGTCTTGTAGCATTTCGCCAAATGAATTTCTAAAACGCAATCATAGCGGCTTGCTTCAAGGTAGATTTTCGAAAGCTTTAATACTAATTCTTGACCTGGAGAGAATCAAACAGGTTGGGAGTGAGGACACCTGCCTATTGACAACACTGGATGGATAGACTACTGGATTCCAATCCAGTAGATGAACAGTAAAGTGGTCACTGAGAGATCTAACAGCCCCGGACTCAATCCCCATACGGTGGTGGATATTCAATGCTAAGGAGCCCCAAAATAAAGTAAAATAGCAGTTCAGTGCTTCTGGACTGTGGCTAGTTATGCAGATGATGCAAAAACCATGATGAAAATTAATGATGGATCGTGGCTAGTAGTGAAATCCGGGAGGCACGTTTCATTCTACTTGGGACTTATCAGCTGGATATACCTGTCTCTCAGCTAGTAATGTTGTTCCCACCAAGACTTGAGCGTTATCTACTGCTGACCATTAACGTCAAAATTAAAACGCCAGGCAATATCGAGGCATCGACGCAGGAGTACCAGTAGAGACAGATCATGTTTATCTAGTCCTAAGAGACGACCGAATTCTATCCATCAATTTGTATTTTGGCCACCAGACAAGGCAGCTCAACATTTCGATGCAGTCTAATGAATAGAAATTGCAATTCTCGATCATAATGCAAAAAACTAACCTAATGCCTTTTTAGGTCACTTTGTAAAATACTACTAATGATGTATTAAGTAATACATTCACAATTGAAACAAAAACGTAGTGAAAATAATCAGTGACCATTCGAAAAGATTAGTTTACACTATCAGTTACGAGGCGTTACAATTTCCTCATCATTAGTATGTTCATTTATAGTTGACATCAAGATGAGTTGTTCATTGTACAAAACGTTGCATGCGATTTTTATCATTTTAAATGAACATGAACAAGAGGTTGTTTAAAACGAGATGAATAGTTTGTTTTCAAGCAGTCATTGATGTTACATGCATATTCATTAAATGGTATTGGACAAATGTTACTGTTAAAATATTTTTAAAAATTCAAAAAGGTTTTTGTCTTTGGATAAGAGAAAATCTATCGAATTTATTACACATTTGTTTATCATTTTGGCTATCTGAGATAACCATTGTTCGGCAGTTTAGTATCTATACTTGGTGATGACTGAAGGTGAAATGAAAATTTGGACAGCGACCGGATTTGAACCAGTGAAATAAAAACAAAAATCTGGTCAGCAGTTGGACCTCGTAACTCAGTTAGTAGAGCATCGGGCGGGAAACCTGGTGGTCTCTGATTCGAATCCGTCCGCGATCCAAATTTTCATTTCACCTTAAGTCACCACCCAGTATCATTACAAAGAAACTGATGAAATTCAAATCTGAACACAGCTGAACCCGAATCGCATAGTTCAAGTGACAGAAATGTAAAATCGCAATTAACAGTCTATTGCTCTGAAACTAGTAGAACTTAAATTTATAAATCCTGAGTAATTTGAACATTAGTTTGATCACGTAATATCAGTAGTTTTTCGCAGTTAGCGAGCGTTTTAGCGATCAAACTGTTACAACCATTGAGCTGTTAGAATGCTAACATGTTAAAAAGACATTCTCCACGTTTCTAAACCGTATCGACCCATCCACTCAACAATACTCAATACAATGGTCCTCATTACTACTTAGTAACCATCTTCAGAATTTCATTCAGAATTTACAGGACCTCGTAAAGAACGAAAAGTAGTGATTGCAATATAACTAAGAATAAATTCAACGCCTCTGCAGTGTTGCTATATTAAGTAAGAGGCAACAGAAATCCTACATAGAAATCTCAATCGGACAAGAACTGGAGCTCCATTCAAACCTACAAGTCCACTCATAGACAAACTGACGGATTAAGAATACTATTGACTGACTGAGACGAAGAGGGTTCAGGGTGACCCGACCAAGACCCAGCACC